TAGCTTACGTATAAAAATGAATGTTTCAGATGAGTATTTGGAAACTCAAAGAACCAAGAAAAAAGACTGGCAAATAAGGCTTCTAAAACATGTAAGGTTCAAGTGATTATAACTAATAGCGAACAAAGAAAAAGAAAAAAGAAAGACAGACAGAAATAACCTAAAACATAGTCAAGGCCATTGCACAATAATGGAATTTTTAGCACTTATTACCACATGACTCTCTGACTGCTGCTGCTGCTGCTCTTGTAATACTGAAGATTCTTATATCATCATGAAAAAGTTGTTGACCATTTCTCTACCTTTATGCCACTCCTTAGAGAGTCATATTTCCAGGCAGACTGCATCTGATTGTAGCCCCTAAGTCATGGGCCCACCCTCCTTGCTAAAGAGTCAGAGGCAGAGTTCTGCCTCTTCATAAGACTTGCACAATTGGGTAACACTCCGAAGCAGTAACGGTGGGTGTCCCAAACAACACATGTTCACTACAGTTAATTTATAGTGTTATTTAATCCTAAATTGTTCATTTGATTCTTTTTTATATTTTCCCTTTATTTGTTGAGATCTTATTCTTTTGCATTTGTTTCAAGTGTGTTTGTAATTACTCACTAAGCATTTTTTTACGATGGCTGCTTTAAAATCCATGTGAGATAATGTTAACATCTGTGTAATCTTGATGTTGTCATCTGCTAATTGTCTTTTGTCATTCAAGTTGGAATTTTTCTTGTTCTTAGTGTGACAAGTGATTTTCTATTGTATCCTGGACATCCTGGGTATTACGTTACAAGATTGTTGATCTTATTTAAATATTCTGTTTTAGAAGTCTTCCTCCAACACTAGACAGGTGGTGAAAGAGGAATGTCTCCCTTTGCTCCTGCCAGGTGTGGTGAAAGTTCAGGTTCTCCTCTGGGCCTCCATTACCACCCCAGGAGTAGGGAAAGCTCCTGGTTACTCTTGATTGGTGATGGGATTTCTGGTACCATGTATTTCCACACCTGTGAAAGCCCTCATGTGGTCTTCCATTTTCTCTCTACTTAACAGTCTTTTTATGTTTGCTTTGCATATAATGTCCAGGGATTTTAACTGTAATTAGTGGGAAGAATAGGTTGAACTGGATCTACTCCATAGTGTACCTGAACTAGAAGTGCTCACTTATTTTCACAAAATATTTTTGTATATCTATCTAGCCACATGTGCACATATTGCATATATAAAATATTTAGTGCCTTGTGTGTATATGTATGTACATACACATCATATATATATATCATATTTTGTCATATTTTCTATGGTTATATATATATATATATATACACACACACACACACACACACATATATGCATTTACCATAGAAAATATGCCAAAATATTAACTACATAATGTGTATATATACTAAATGTGTATATATATATTATATATCATATGTCAAAATATTTAAAATATTCCAAAATATTTTCAATATTTTGGTCTGACTTGAACTAGTATTTTAAACCCATGTTATTTTTTTCCTGCTACTGCCTAAGAATCTAATCTGTTTCTAAATTAGATATCATATTATGGTACAGGAATTTTTGCACATGCAGTGACCCCAGACTTTTCAAATTATGAATGACTTATAAAATTAATTTCCTATTAACTTTCCATATTCCTCACACTCCATCAAATTAAAAAAAAAATGCAAGAAGCTATTATCTAAATTGTAGAAAAGACACTAGCTTATGACTGATGGTTCAAATGAATCCATTAACCTGCTATTACAAAGAGCAAAGAGAGAATAAGAAAGAGAGAGAGAGATAGTAAGAAGCAAGCATCTCTCCACTGTATGATCCAAGTAGGCAGTCAGCTTTAGATGACTTCACAACAAATACATGATGAATCGCAATGCTAGGATTTTTTTCCTGTTGTGGAATTATTTCCTTAGCATTCCATTTTAAATAGTTACCCATCAACCACATGTTCTTTAGCAAATATTTAGATTATACTGAATATTGGACATTGAGCTAGCCAGGTGCTGGTGATACAGGAAGAAACAAACCTTTTTGGAGGTCATTGTGGTCTAGAGAAGTTGTTCTCATACTTTAGCCTCTCAGAATCAACTGGAAGCTTGGTCAAACACAGAATGCTGGGCCCTATCCCTTGAGTTACTGATTAAGTAGTTCTGGGTGGGGCCAAAAAGTTTGCATTTTTAACAAGTTTCCAGCTGATGCTCTTGCTGCTGGTTTGTGGACCACATTTCAGAAACACTTGTCTAAAGCATTAATACTCAGATTTTAGTGTTCCTAAGAGTCACCTGTGGCATGGCTTAAATAATAGTTTCCTGAACTCAGTTCCTGGAGATTCTGATTCAGAAAGTCTGAGTAGGATCAAAGGATTGGCATTTTAAAGAGCATCCAGGTGAGTTTTTTGTACCTAGCTTGAAGGTTACACTTTGACCAGTATTGGGACGTGTTGGTCTAATGTGGAAGCAGGCATAAAATAAATACTCACATAAAAGTTATTTAATTTGAGGCCGGGCGCGGTGGCTCAAGCCTGTAATCCCAGCACTTTGGGAGGCCGAGGTGGGTGGATCACGAGGTCAAGAGATCGAGACCATCCTGGTCAACACGGTGAAACCCCGTCTCTACTAAAAATACAAAAAATTAGCTGGGCATGGTGGCGCGTGCCTATAATCCCAGCGACTCAGGAGGCTGAGGCAGGAGAATTGCCTGAACCCAGGAGGCGGAGGTTGCGGTGAGCCGAGATCGCGCCATTACACTCCAGCCTGGGTAACAAGAGCGAAACTGTGTCTCAAAAAAAAAAAAAAAAAAAAAAAGTTATTTAATTTGAAATTTAATAAAAGCTAAAGGAAGTATAGGTGCTTTGAGAGTCGAGAGGTGAGCTCAGAGGAAAGGCTATTAAAGTTATTTTGGAGAAAGCAGTAGACCCAAGCATGATGGAGGATCACCTTTTCTTCAAACCTGGCCAAGAAAAGAAGTATGAAGGGAAATTAATCCTCCTATTTTTAAAAGTTTTGCACTGATATTATGGCAGCTTGTTACAGGGTTATGAGTATGGTCTCTGCAGTAAGATATCACTTCTGCTTCTACTAACTTACTAGCTATATGAACTTGGGAAAGCTGCTTATCATTTCTCTGCCTCATTTAAAAAAAATCTGTGAAGTGGGATAATAATAGTTCATAACATAGACAGTTCTATGAATATTAAATAGGTTTAAAAATGTAAAACACTTAGAAGGATGCCTGGTGGATAGAAAAAGCTCAGCTCAGTAACAGTGAGCTATTATCACTGTGGGCAGCAGATTGGAATCCATTTGTTAAAGCAGCATTGTGTTACATACTCATGCAAAAGCTGCTCAAGAGAGTTCTCTGGCAGTTACTTAAAGCTCTACTTTTATACACCTTTAATATGGAAAAGGAAGAAATCTAATAGCATCTTCCTTCATGAACAATAGTTCGGACTAAACATCCAGAGGTCTTCTCAATGGTCAGCTTCAATGTTAAGAGCTATGGGCCAGGATCAAGCCGGTAGACACCTTTAAGGCTCCCAGAACTTTGTCTGCACACGGCTGCTTCTGTGATTTCTTCTGTGATTTTTAGCGACTAGTAGAGATCCTCTAAAATAGAAAGGCCTTATTATATCACTATTGATGTATCTAAGGAAGGAAGACCTAAGGAGACAGTGTTCTACTCCCCAGGCGTAATTGGCTAAGAGGATCCCTGAGGGATGGGGATAATGGTAGCAGTTATGAATGAGAAAAAGGAATTCCTCATCACAGAAGGTAGGGAAAGAGTAGAGGTCTGAACCTCAGGAGTAGACAGAGCCAAGGCCCATTTCATTGTGCTGTAGGAGAGGAGACCCGATTTATGCTTTTCGTTATTCATGTCTCCACTATATTCTGGCCTCTCTTGCTGTTGTCTGGCCAATGGAATCTGAGCTGAAAGAATGTGTGTTTCTTTAAAGTGGATGCAGTTAATTACCTGCTGTGCCTCCTGCATCCTGTTTCCCACTGTACTCCTACTCTTTGAATCCAAGGTGGTGAAATGACACAGTGGAAGAAATCTGAATCTCTGAGCCAGCACTTAGGGAAGAGTCATTGACCAGCATCAGTCCATGACATGAATGAGGAAGAAAATTATTCAGTAACTGAGATTTGAGGAGTGTACAATATGGCTATTTGCTTTATCTAGCAAAGGAATTGAAATTGATGTATTTAAGTGGAATGCTGCCATAAAAATCCCTAAAATAGGAGGCATCAGCTGAATAGTTAAATGGCCACCAGTAAGAAAACTGAACCAGAGGCCAGAAAGACCACGATCCTGCCACACAGAGAGGCAAAACATTTAACTGTTGTCTATAATAACTGAAGGGATGAGTCACATGTTTTCTGACTCTGCACGTGGTTAGAAAGTGTCACAGCTATTCACAGCGGCAATCTGCGATCGCTATTATTGGCTGCAGTTAACAAAGTAAGGTTCTAAAAGGATGAGCTCCAGGAAGAATTGGTTGATGAACAAGCAGAAATGAAAGAGAATAGTAATGGAGAAGGTTTAGGAATTTGCCAGCATTGGAAAAGCCAAATAATGAAAGACAAAGATTAGAAATGCTTTAGTGATGTTATATCTCAAACTATTAATAAATAACAACCGGTTGAATAATAATAAGAAACATATTAGTATTTTACAAAGTATGGGCTTCCCACTGATTACACCACATAGCCTCAAGGTAGCAACCATGAGATTGAAGGAGGGAGAAGTATGAGTCCAAGGAAAAATAGAAATATGTGGACGTGAAAAACTAGGCTGACCAATAAACTGAAACTCCCAAGTTCTCGGGAACCCCTTATACCTGGTTAAATCAGGAAGCGTGTTCACCTGTAAAAAGTCCATGTCTAGGAAGGCATTTCAGGTATGACTACTGACACAGGGCACAGTAATGAAGAGGGAGGTGAATCACTGGAAGGAAATCAATTTATAAGTCTACTAAGTTTTTTTTAATTATTAAAAAACTATAAAACCTTTGATGAATTTGCATGTCATCCTTGCTCAAGAGCCATGCTAATCTTCTCTGCATGGTTCCAGTTTTAGTTTATATGCTGCCAAAGCAAGCACTGTCTACTAAGTTTCTGAGGAAACCATATCGCTAGGGAAACCGCAAGGCTGAGCAGCCTCTGATTGCTGAAGGCTTACATCCATCTTTGACCTCCAAACCTCCATAAGCAGGAAGCAGGCTTCAAAAGCTCTATGGCCCCCAAATAAGGGCTTGCTCCCCAGCCCCCACTTTAGACATGGAGAAGAAGAATAATGGACAAGAAGGCTCCTCTTAGCAGGAACCAAGTACCCCTGAGGTTGGTGGACAATGGACTTTCAGCAGAGTAGAATCAGAACATAATCAAGGCTGCTCTCTCTTCCCAATAAAAACCCTTCTCATGTCTGCCCAGAGTAATTTCTTAACTGTGATGTTAAGGAATGTGGCATCATTGACTTCCTTTTTTTGAGTGAAAGTTATGATGCAGTTATCCTTTACCTGTCCCAGCACCGTATGTTGGGCGTGGAGAGGGGCCAATAATTTGTCGTTTTTGTCCAAAGGTTGCCAGACCAAGAGGAGTCACATCTGGGCCTATAAAAATGAACCAGACATTGCCACAAATCCTGGACTTGAGCTGAATGCAGAGACTGGTGGGTTTCTGTATTATATCTTTGGGAGAGGAAATGAACACTTTTTACATAGTGCCTCTCTACCTTTTCCAACCATCTTGGCAGTTAGGCTTGCCATGTGATGAGTTCCAGCCAGTAAAATGTAAGCAGAAGTGACTTGTTTACTGCTGGGCTAAGGTAGTTAGGTACCAGTGTGTCTTCCCCTCACTGAAACTCCCACCTTCTTCCCACAAAGCCCAAGGGATAAAGTTCAGGGCAAATTGGAATCCAAAAGGAGCCACAAAGTGGAAGAAACCTGGATGCCTGAGCCACTATATGGAGAAAACACCAACTAAAAAGCTTTATCTGATCCACATTTGATGTAAGTGAGAAATAAATTTTTGATTGTGTTAGGCCATTGATATTTTGAGATTGCAACAGCAGCTAGTATAAGTTAGCCCAATGCTTTAGGAAAATATCTATTTGGTTATCTAATCTGTGAAGACCACTGACTCATTTCTCTGTCTTGTTTTCTTAATGAGCACAATATAGCATGTGAGTAAGAGATGAGGGGAAGGTGTGGAGGTGGGATTTGGAGCCAGAAGACAAGAATTTCTCTCTTTATCTAGTCATGGGCATTTAGTAAATTAACATTTCCATGCTGAGCCATAAAAGTCAATGTGATTATTTTCCCTGACCCTGCCCAGAAGAAAGCAATCTCCAATTGTATACTCACTGGCATTTTGCTTTCAGGGATACTATTTTGTAACTGGGTTCGGTTCAGTCCTCCTGGTCTGAAGAGAAAATGAAACACCCTACTTTAATAAGAGATGTTCTGTCTTTACTGCAAGATCCAGCCCACTGTTTGTAATAAACTCTGAAATCTGTGCTTGACAGGTACTGCGTACATAGAGAGCATGTCATGAAGGATAACAGAGAAGACGAAGCCTGTTAAAATGACGCAGTTTGCTTCTCCCTTCCACAAAGTAAACTCAGATTCTGGTTTCAGAAGGGACTGGCGCCTTCTCCCTTCCCTACCAGATTTTCCTGTTATCCCTTTTATTTCCTGTTTTTTCCTGTTATGTCCTCCTGTTAAAAGAGGGAGACTAGGGTGACTGCTCCCACTCCTTCTATCAAGACTGGGGGTCCAACTGTGAGCCCTGTGCTGCAGGTCAAGAGAAATTTGGTATGTGAAAGCATTTCGCAATCTGTAAAGCTTAAATATGCATGCACTTTGTAAGGAAATATGGTATAAAGGAAAGTAGAGGTTTATAAGTCAGCAGAGTTTAGAAGTCTCATCCCAATTCTATGCTGGCCATTTTACAGCTTGGTAATGCTGAGAATGTTTTTCAACTTCTCTGATCTTCAGTTTCCTCCACTATAAAATGGGACCTATAAGTCCTACAACTTAGGGTAGGAATAAAATAAATAACATGTAAAATACCTAGCTCGGTGTCTGGTACATGTTGGTGCTCAATAAATGTGCAATTCCTTCCTTTCCCTTTCCTACCCACATGCTGTCCTCAGGGTAGAACACACATATGATTCTTTCTCATGCCCTGCCTGCCTCAGTACATTTCTGGATATACACATCGGGACTTCCTGACTTACAATTACATAAACTCCATAGCAAGTATCTTTGGCTGTGTTAGTACAAACCCCTTAAATAATGCCTCAGTTCCCCCCTACCACAGACTCCACTGGATTAAGAAAGAAAGAAGGTAACAGAATGAAAAGAGCATTCTGCTTGGTGTCAAGTACTGGGTTCAGATCTCTTTTCCAGCCTGTGCACTGTAGGTTAAATTAGAAATCTCTCTAAACCTCAGTTTACTCAGATGGAAAATGTCAGTTATAGTTTCCACGAAAGAACTTTGTGAAATAAAAAAAAAAAAAACCTGGCACAAACATAAGGTATTTCAGTATGCTTCCAGGATACCTTTGCTTATTCTTATCACCATATGTGTTAATCCTGCCAAAGTGCCTTGTGCCCCATGTGTCTTCCCCAAGACCCACTGACTTTGTAAGGCAAGGTAGGTGCTTTGGGCGGGCATCCATCCATGGAAGCACTTCATCTATCTTTGCTCTTGTTCAAGAATGTTTTGGTTTCACTGCATGCTACTTTAAAACAGCCTCATCTGAGCAGAGCACAGGGAGAAAGTTCTGTCTTTCTGTAAGATTCTTTTTGAACATTTGTTTCAATTCTCCACCAATTCCAATGTGCTTCATATATTTCAGTTTAGTGAAGTGAAGTCTCATCCCAATTCTATGCTGGCCATTTTACAAATAGAAAATCCTAAAAGTTAATATAGCAGATATGATATACAATGCATGAATAAGGTGTTTGAGATATTGTTACCAGGGGAGTCATCTGTTTGAATTTTTTGACTTGACTTAAAAAGCCTAACCACCTTGATGTTTGTTTAAACTTGAATTCGATTCCATTAGGGCGTAACAGTACTGTTGTCTCACTTATATGTTAACAGAGTTTTATACGTTGGAGAATATTTATAGTCAGAGGCTTTCGGACCTCTGCTTTATTTCACAGCTGTCTACACTTGAAGCCACATTTTTGGACATCTACTTTTAATTTTCTTGCCTTCTCCTTCTTTGGAATCAATTCGTTTTTCTCCTGTAAAGCTATATGGAAGCTCACATGGGGGGCATGGTACAAATTTCCAAAAAAGAATACTGAATTTTGAAAAGACAGTAAAATAACATTATGGAAATCTTATGTTCCAACTCTGCTCTGACTCATTAATTCTCTCTGTGTGTTGCCTCGAGGATCCAAATCCTCTGCGTGCCTTCAAACAGGCTCTGTTCTCCTGCATTCCGTTTGGTTCTTGAGCACTTTTCCTCTGCTGCCCAGGGAGTTTTCCCCAGTCCTTGGACTTCGACACAGTGTAAGCTCATGTTCAACTCATGCTGCTGCTGCTGCTGCTTTTTTTCCGCTTGGGTCTCCTGAGCTAAATGGATCTCACATAATTTATCTCATGCCTTATTGCAGCTGTTACCACTTTGCTCCAAAAATATTTTCCTCCTATTCAACTACTTTGTCACTCAGGCTTATTGTTATGTTGACATATTGTTCACTCCTGTGTCTCCTTAACATTCTCATGTGTTGTACACAACAGCAAACACATTTGATGTTGTGAAGCTGCAGTTCTGTGTGGGAGAAAAAAAGTTAATTCCTAAATTTGTCGCTCTAAATGAGTGCTTTACAAGTCTATTCTATCATTATTTCATTTCTTTTGATTCTGTTTAAGAAGCAAAGAATGGTATATTTCTGGGGACTCGTGAAATTCTTTTATACAATTATATTTTAGAAAGAAAAATGTTCATTTATCAGTTTCCTTCCTTTACTTTCTCACATGTTTTCAAAAGCTTTGTTAAGGTACTGATAATATATACCATGAAAATTAGCAGGATTTATTTTAAATATCTTGAACCAGGGAAGCTTTAAACTCACCACTTTGAGAATAATTCCATATTCCATTAAGCTTTTACTGAGGGGAATTATATCAAGTACCCTCAATTTTAACTTTTCTAATTTCATTCTGTTATTTCTGGCTAGAAATTGGAGGAATTTTACCTTGCTGTTTATTCATAGAATTTTAGAACTGGAAGGAAACTTAGAGAATGTGTTCTTCATCATCCTGACTTTTTAGACACCAAGCTCAGAGTAGCTGAGTGGATTGTCATTGTCACAAATGGGTCTTAGCAGAACTGGAGCCAAAGCTCAGGCCTTCAGATTCCCAGCCCAGATCTGTGCCCTGTCTGATGCCCCCTAATACACTGAGTATTTTCATGTGTTTTTGTCTAAGGTCTGTGAATTTTTATTTTAGAATGTGTCATTTGGATATGCCTCAGATTCACAGTGCCTTAACTGGTTTAATTCTGCTTTTCAGGGTTTGGACATTTGAATGGACAAGGCTGAGAGTATAGTCATTCATTCAGCTGAGCCACAAATGACTCTATGCTCATTTTGGTGACCTGGCCCAAACACCATTCCTTGTATACATAGAAGATTCTGTATAAATATTGTTGAATAAATGAATGAATGAAAAAATGTTCCTTTTTTTACTCCTATGTTGTAAATTGTAAGGCAGGAAAAAGAAGGGAAAAAGATTTACTGCTATTAGTGAAAATATAATCTTGAAGCTGAAAGCACAGGTGGAAGTAACAATGTAAGAAACCATATTTAATTGCCAGAATGAAAGTGCTATAAAAGTTCAGAAATATCAAAACTAATATAACCAGTGCCTATAGAAATATGAGGAGTGTGGATAAACACCAGTATATGTTGTGGAAAATAGGGAATATGTCTGGAGTTTGAAAAGCATGCCTTCTTGACAGATAAAATAATGAGTAATAAAGAGAAACACTGCTTTCAACAAAGAAAATTGAGTGAAAACATTAGAGAGAGAAAGAAAGCAGAAATTACACTGATAAATAATAGATTCACAGTATTTAATGGT